GAGGGCGTGACCTGATATCCTGATGGTCTGGAGGGCGTGGGAAGAAAGGAGAGAGACACAGAGCCAAGAGTATTTAAAGAATAAGTCGGAGTGGACACTGCCTGATTTCGCGAGCGTCATCAGGAGGTCATTGGGTTCGCGAACGTCATGCGCACCCTTGACCTATGTATAGATGGAGAGGAGAGAAGAGGAGATGAGGAGAGACAGAGATAGACAGGGAGGCAAGGCAAGCAGGCAGGTACACAGACAGATAAATAGAGAGAGAGAGTGTGAGCGTTTTTCGCATACAATTGTGAAATCGACGCATTGTGCTCGCAGACCTTGCCACAATTATATTTTTTCTATAGGTTAGCCTACATAAAATGAAGTATCCATAGCAAGAAGGGAAATAATTCTCTCCCCGTGGCTGTAGTTCGTTGATTCTGCGTCCATACGTTATTCTGGTTATATCTGCTTAGACTTTCGTTCAGTAGCCCCCAACACACCCGGGATAGTGGTTCGCTGATAATCGGGGCAGGGGAACAGAAGGCAGGAGAGTTCGTCGAAGTGCACGCGAAGCAGCCGTGCATTCAACAGAACAGGTCGGCAGTTGTGACACACTCGTGCTTGGCTTGCCTTCTTCAGCAGGCAGCTGGACGATAGGGTTTCTTAACATGTTCTCAACATGTGATATTGCGTCGGGCAGTGGGGTGTGGGGGGGGGTAGAACGAGCGAGTGTGTGAGAATAAGTGGAATGTGTTACTGAGTGGAAGAGTGTAGAAACTTGTCTGGAGAAGCAGATAACTCAATAAAAGGAAAGAAGCAGAAGAGATAGAGAATCCCAGACGCAGGAAAAGGAAAATGCGCCGGGATTGGTCTGCACGAGGAGGCACTGGCGGTGGAAGTGTTCTGTTCGGAATATCGATGTCTTTAATGCGGTCAAGACACAGTTCATCGCCGCTGAAGGGGAGGGACGAGAAGAAGAGAGGAGAGGAAAGAAAAGAAGATAGGAGAGAAGTGGAAAGAAGAGGGGAGGAGAGATAAGAAAATAGAAGAGAAGAGGAGAGAAAAGAAAATAGAGATGAGAGGAGAGAGAATTTGGTCAAGAACTTGGGTGCAACGGGGGAATGGCGTGCAAGTCGTGGGGAACGGGGGGAAGGGTGGCGTGGGAAGGGCAAAGGTGAGGAGTGACATGAATGAGCGATTGTCTCGAAACTGGGACATTATCTTTATCGACGGATCTGGTCAACTCGCCTGCGATTGTAGGAGACACCTAGTTAAAGGGACGTAATGGGGTGGGGCGAATGGTAAAAAAAAATGGAGAAAGGGGAATAAGTAGGAAGGAAAGAGGGGGGTTGGGGGAATGGTAAGAAATTGGAGAAAGGGGAATAAGTAGGAAGGAAAGAGGGGGGTTGGGAGAGGAGAGGACCGGAGGAGGTAGAGGGAAGGGGTCATGTGTCTGTGGCGTGTCAGGTGCTGGTGCGAGGTCGGAAGGTCGTGGCTCCGGGTAAAGTCTTCGGTCGTGTGATCTACGTTGGCGGACCTGGCGGTGAGTGGCGTCCGTTCAGCAGCGGGAAAGAGAGAGAGAGAGAGAAGAGAGAGAGAGAGAGAGAGAGAGAGAGAGAGAGAGAGAGAGAGAGAGAGAGAGAGAGAGAGAGAGAGAGAGAAGAGAGAGAGAGAGAGAGGAGACAGACAGACAGACAGAGAGACAGAGACTTCGAGGCGGTAACCTTTCCCAAGAATCAGTTCTCCCAGTCATCGAGGTCAGTCGATAACGACCTGTGTGCCCTGCGTCTTCGTCGGACGGAAACTCCCCAGCGCGCGAGGAAGCGGCCGGGCCATCCAGCGCCAGACAGGAAGGTGCCGCCCTGTTTACGGAAGAGCAGCGGCGGCTCGAGCTTCTCCCGCTGACATACCTGCCGGGGATCCGTGGTGTCGGCAGGCTCGTGCAAGCGAGGGCGAGGATGCATGCGAATCGCAGGTGTGAATTCCTCTCGCAGGAAGTTGTGTATCCGATAGGCATGTCTTGTTTATAAGGCAAACCTCTTGAGATGGCATGAGAACACCCGCAAGCACTCGCCAGTTCTTTTTTGGAGGCAGACAGCTCTGTTCCTCCCCTGTGGCTCACGATAGGGAGGGAGGGGGCAAAGGGGAGGGAGAGGTAACGGGGGGTGCATGATGTAAACAAGCTCAGCCCTGCAAGCACGTGGACGCCACGTGAGGTCTGCTTGGCTTACCGCAGCGGCCATTTGCTTGCCGAGGTTGCAGGGATGGCGCTATTTATTTATATTGACTTGATGATGAGGCCTTGTGAGGCAGACGCACAGAAGGACAATATGAGGAGCTCGCCTTCTAGCCCGTGGGAGACCTTGGGGCTATTTGTGGCTATCCTGCCCCTGGATGGTGCAATGATTCGCCAAGACGGCAGAAATAGCGTTAGAAAGAGTCCCACTTATTATTATTAGAGCTATTCATATGTGGGTAATTTGCTAATTTACTTCAAACTGGTTGCGTGCTGATCCTTTTGCGTTGTAGTGAAGTTGTGCGTTGATTCATGTTAGGTTTGGGGAAGAGCAGTTCATTCTCACTCTTTGTACGTGCGTGCGTGTCTGTGTGTGTGTGTGTGTGTCTTTGCATCTTTGTGTCAGTCTTCCCGTCTGCTTCGTCTCTCGCTTCGTCTGTTTGTTTATCTCTGTGTGTGAGTGTAGTTGCTGAGTTGTTTAGCTTCATTCACTTCCTTGGTCGGCGCCGGTGGCTGGATGAGGACTAGTTGTGTAACGCATCTGCTTTGTCTCAGCCACTTCCAGTATCTGGTTACCATGCCTGGTTAAATCATCACACGGGACTCACTTTTACTCTCCTTGTTTGATTCTGTGTACCTTTCCTGACACATGTTTGCGGCGTCCGTCGTCCTCCGACGCCCGAGCCATTAATGAGCGTTCGTATTTACTTGAGAGACGAAATGGGTTTGTAGTTGTGTTGTGCAGGAAAATCGAGATGACAGCCTGTCTTCCGTGTGCAGTCTGTCAAGGTGTCAAGTGGGGGACGACAGTTATCTTCGTGTTATTTCTCATCTTGTTTTATTATCTTTCTCGTCGTCGTGTGCCTTCTATGTCTTGTTTCTCACGCCACTCACTCATGACGGGCCATCGATAGCTTTCATGAGTGGGATTCCCGTTCAGTGCCAGGCGGGAATCAGCCTTGTGGCACGGTCGAGCGGCGTTGGAACGAGCTTGCCTGACCCACAAACTGTGGGGGACGACAGGTGAAAGGGACAGCTGTTGTTGCCTCGCCGCTGTCGCCCGACCAGGTACGGGAAGCGGAGAGATTCGTGGATTCGCAGCGAAGAGAGACGAGGAGAGATGCCAGGAGAATAATGGCGCTGGGAGACTTTCCCTGAATGGATTATTTCGCAACGTGACGTCTCTGGCAGGTCCTCGTTTGCACAAGATGAATAAGTTTGGAGACGGTTTTTGCGCCGTTACTTTTAAGCTCGTTGGGTTAATAGACTCAGGGACAAAGAAAAAGGAAAATTAGACTCGAGTCAACTTTATCTCAGACGAAAATTGCTTTGACTCAGACACGCCAGAGCTTGATTAAAGCATATAAATAAAATTAGTCCGCTTCATTCTTCGAACTCATAGCTGGAATTATGCAATGCTTTTACTAGCCTGTGGACCAGCTGCAAGTGACGACGGCGCTCCATATTCACAAGAGAAAATTACGTTTCATGGTGGTTCTTGACATCAGAAATTTCTCTCCATGCCATAATGGAAATTGTGTTTTAAGTATAGGTTTTGGCGGGGTGAGAAAATGGGGAATATGGCAGTCTTGTAAGTAAAGTCGATATTCTGATCTTTTCCTGTTGATTAGATCCCAGGGGCATTCGACACACGTATGCGCCAATCGTTTTGAGGACTCATGCAGCAATCCGACTGGAAAGTAATGTTTGTTAAAGCATGATTTTATCTAGTGTGTCCGCCATGGTTGGAATATTGATCGGGAAGAGTGTAAGGTAGTCTTGTGAACTCATTTCTTCTAGTGGCGCCACTCTAGCCTAAATGTTTTAGTCTTGATGTTCAAAGATAAGGCATAAAAGTCTTCGAAAATGGGTTTTTTCATGCGGAAATGTACGGAATATATATTTTTCAATATGTGATTATTGATTACGGCGACAGCGAGCAACACCAGATTCCTGCCTTTAGCTTTTCGTTGCGTGGCATGGCGTTACAAGGTCCGTCGCCATTGACTAAGGGTCTTTGTGCCATTTGCGTCACGTTTGTTTACGTTTTATTCCGGGAACGCATTGACTTGCAGGTGAGCATTGCGGCCTTCCACCTTGTTCCTTGAGTTCTTGTGTTCGCTCTGTATCTCGCAATGTGTAGAAAGCTTGCTGACCTCTCGATAGGTATTCAGGTCCCAGGAATCTGTTTCAGGGAGAAGGAGGGAGAAAACCGTAGCATCATTGGGTTGGGCCGTTGGGGGGGGGGGGAGACTAGAGGAGGAGCAAGATTCTGCCGGGGTTTCGTCATGCAGTTTGGCGGTGCAGGTCGGCCGGGGCGCCCCGCTCCAGCTGGGACTCGCCGAACGATAACTTTCGGCAGCCGGTGAAAGCCAGGTCTGAGTGGAAAGCGTCAAGTGTTTTTTCTTCGAGTTTGAGTTTTCTATTGCCTGCCGTTTTGTCTCGTTCGGGGTAACGGATTTCCGCAAGGGTGTGCTTGTAGGTCGGTGGTTTTGCATCAAGGGAGATGTAGCAGCGGCTTTGATCTTGGGAGGAAAGTGCTGGCAAAGGACTAAGCACAGCGAGTGAGCGATGCTTTGCGGAGAGGCGCGAGTGGTGCCGAGCTGTCTGGCGGGTCGGACTGGTTTCCATGCCCGGGAGCTCTTTCTATCTTGGATTCTGTTCTGCGAATTATCATACATTCAGAATTGCAGATATAGATAGTATTGAACGCTCCGATTCTGCAGATATTTCTAGCTAGATGGAAATTGTGTCTTGGCAAATAGTTGGTCAGGGGGACATGGGGAATCAATGTATCTCTCAAAGCCATATATACATGGCAATACAATTTCCCCCCAGTCAGTTATAAGACACACTAAGCCATCCAGTTCACCGTACCCATAGACCTCACGTGCACCTTATGTCACGACTTATGTTTTAATCGCCGTCCATTGTAATTGCAATGATTGGCGACGCATGGCAACTCATTCGTCACCCTCGGCCCGCCTCGCCGTCCGTCGCTGCTTCAGTACCTCGTCTGCCGTGAAAGTGAGTGGTTCTGTTAGACGTCCTCTCTGGGCGAAGGGACCCGTTGCCCGTGTATTATGCATTATGAGACATTTTTTCGTTTCGAAATGTGAATGACTTGGGGGGGGGGGGGGATTTGAGGCTGTGTAGTGCATGGTGATTAAAGAATGAATGTTGGATTTTGATACGAAAGAAAGAAGACTGAAATACGCAACTTTTCCAACATTGATGAAGACGAACCTGTGTTGACCTGAATGATTTTAGTGGAAGAGCTAGAATGCCTTATTATTGCCATCAAGTGTAAATTTAGAATGGTGCAAAATTAGTGCTACTAAAAGTTACGGACCTATACTGATGCCAGTTGAGAAAAAAATGAAAGAAAATTAGTGGAAACGATTAAGGAAAAGACCCCTTTGGACGAAACCGAAACCCAAGAAATGGAGAAGATAACCCTTCACCCATATATAGTGAGAGGGAGGAAGGCTGATTTAGTACCAAATAGTGAAGTATAAGCAAGGAGGGGGTGGGGTGGTGGCAGGAAAGGGTCCAGTATCCTTTGTTGAGTGTGTGGTTCAAGGCTTGAAACACACTGTGTAAATTACTTTTTTATGAAGCATTTCGAAGTAATTATATTGTGTTTTTCTGTGTGTGTGCGCACTTGCTACACCCAGGGATATTAGATTTTGTTGTGTATGCGAACAATTCCGATTATACTACCGGTATTCTATTTGGCGAATTGTTGCTTCAAGTTGAGAGCTAATGGGGTTTCTAAAGGAAGATCAGAAGGTCTTTGAAAGTCCAGCCCGTCCTTTAGAAACAAAAGGAGAATTGAAAAAATGAAAATCGCTGTGCAACTATCTAAGCAGGTTCAGCGGACTAGGTAACCGAGGCCACGGCCCGGTATTTATAGGCCAGATTGATAACGAGTGAGAATAATTGAAAGCTTTATTTCGCTGCCCTTTCCTCTTTCTTCCCTTCGTCTGCATTTCTCCCTCTCCCTCTCCCCCCCCCCCCCCCCCGGTCACTCACTCACTCACTCATCACTCACTCACTCACTCTCTCTCTCTCTCTCTCTCTCTCTCTCTCTCTCTCTCTCTCTCTCTCCTCTCTCTCTCTCTCTTCTCTCTCTCTCTCTCTCTTCACTCCTCTCCTCTCCTCCCCCCCCCTTCTATCTCTCCTCTCCTTCCCCTCCCTCCCTCTCCCCTCCCCTTCTATCTCTCCTCTCCTTCCCCTCCCTCCCTCTCCCCTCCCCCTTCTATCTCTCCCTCTCCTTCCCCTCCCTCCCTCTCCCCTCCCCCCTTCTATCTCCCCTCTCCTTCCCCTCCCTTCCACCTTCCCTCCTCTCCCTTCCCCTCATCTTCCACCTCCCTCCCCCCTCTCTCCCTCCCTCCCTCTTGCTTTCCTGCCTGTCTCAAAATCACTTGCATGTGCCAGCTGTTATGCATATGATGCAAACTTTGACTTGCTGGCATTAGCAGCGGTGTATGTTTCGGAGTTTTATCTCTACGTATAGAGTGCGATTCTTAATTGGAGGAAGGACCTTGAAACTTGCGGTGGCTTTATCCTTGCCAAGAATCTTGAGTGTGTCTCCCAACGTGCTTCCGTGGCATTGAAAAGGGGTATATATTTATCGGCATTACTTTTTTCAGAAATATTTTTTTAAGATGATGCGTGGTGGGTGTGGCCACCCAAGAAAAGACGTGGCAGATATGTATTAAATGGATAAAAAAGTGATATTGGAAAAAGGAATATAGTGAACATTGAATAAAAAAAAAGACAACTTGAGAATGTCCTGTTATACACTGCCTGCCAAAGTAGTCGAAAGTTGGAATAAAGAAGAAAAATTGGCTTGTCCTGATGACTTTCTCACGAGGCCCGAGTGTAAGTGTTCAAAGGATCGTCGAAGTTCTTCTTGGATTATACGTTTTGCTTATTGTGGTTATGACTTTACTACATATTTTTGGTGTTTTCTTGTATATCAACACATTGTTATCTACATGTGACTCGCCCGCGCGCACACGCACACGCACACGCACACGCACACGCACACACGCACACGCACACGCACACACACGCACACGCACACACACACACACACGCACACACACCACACCACACACACACACACACACACACACACACACACACACACACACACACACACACACAACACACACAAACACAAACACACATAAACACAAACACACATAAACACAAACACAACATAAACACAAACACACACACAAACACACATAAACACAAACACACATACACACACACACACACACACACACACACACACATAAACACACACACACATAAACACACACACACACACTCACTCACTCACTCACCACTCACACTCTCACTCTCACACACACTCTCACACTCACCACTCATCTCTCTCTCTCTCTCTAACACTTCACACTCTCTGTCCCACTCACTTAATCACACACCCACACTCACTCACATTTTCAATGATAATAGGACTATTGGTAAGGACATTCATAGTTTATTTACTTTTCACATTAGAATTTCAAAGCTTTATCCTTATACATGGATTCCTACAAATATACATAATACATATCCATATAACCATAGAGACATTTATTATGGATCTACAAATGTTTTCTTGGTGTTATTCTATGGTAAATTCCCAATATAACCATTATTGACACTAAGCTAGCTATAGCTGCTCACATACCAGTTGTTTCAGTATGTCTCACTGCTATCCTCTTCTTTCTTACAGCTGATTTTGGGTTTGCAAGATTCTTACAAGATGGAGTAATGGCAGCCACACTCTGTGGGTCCCCTATGTACATGGCTCCTGAAGTCATTATGTCTCTGCAGTACGATGCCAAAGCTGACCTTTGGTCACTCGGAACAATAGTATTCCAGTGCCTGACCGGAAAGGCACCATTTCAAGCCCAGACGCCACAGGCTCTAAAACAGTTCTATGAAAAGAATGCAAATTTAGCTCCAAGGTTGGTATTGAGAAAATTGCTTGGATGACATACAGCTAACTCATTGGTGTCTATATATACATTAATTATTATTATTATTATTTTTTTAGAGACTATATGTGAGGTATAGGCACTTCATTGGCAGATGACTCAACCAAATATCCTTTGCAGAATACCTTCTGGTACATCACCAGAGTTAGTAGATCTCCTGATGGGATTGCTGAAGAGAAATGCCAAAGACAGGATGGAGTTTGAAACCTTCTTCAATCATCCCTTCATCCGCATGGTAGATTCTTCAGCACAGAAACCTTCCGTAGCAACTGGCTCTCCGTCTGTGCCTGTACGTTCGCCCTCACCTGCCCCCGCAACTACGCCCAAGCCCGTCAGTCGTGGAGGGGCATATGCCCATCATACACAACCTTCCCCCAGTCCTCCAGTTGGTAAGTATAAATTGTAAATTAAATCTTTTGATCTCTGTGTTAACTAATAATAAGAAACATTATTAATCTTTATATTTATGCATTAAGCAGATATTGACCTTATATATACATAACAAACAGTTTTCTGCAAAACAGGTAACCTTCCACCATCTCCTGAGGAACTTCGTATGAGTGTTGATCAACGTAGTGCCGGCGACTTACCCCCAGCCTCCCCTGCTAGTGCCACCACCACTCTTCCCAGACCTACCCCAGTGCCCAGAGCAAACAATGCTCCAGCCCCAGAAGAGGCTGAGGACTTTGTGATGGTGCCAGCTCAACTGCCAAGTGAGCCTGAACCTTCTAGAGGTGCACAAGGGTAAGACACTTCTTTTGTGTCTAGAGCATTATATTCTTTACTCTAATGTAAGGTATCTGTATCCATCTATGTGTCTTGCAAGGACTTTTGTTATTGTGGAGTTGCTTATATGACATGCATATTTCAGGTGGGGTGGTCGTGCGTTAACCAAGGCTGGAGGAGGTATTATGTACCAGAAAAACCAACCCCAGTATGGCCCCCTAACTCCCCAGGTGCCCACATCACCCCGGCCCTCACACCTCCCAGTGCAAGGTCAGTTTTAGTGATTATGCTTTGTGGACAGACATCAAATGTATTTTGGTAGTTTATAGTTTTAAATTCTTTGCAGTGTTGTAGTAGTAATATACCTCATCACAGTCTCTTCACACAGTTGATTTTTCACTATTAATGTTCTTTGGAATTTTTTTCATTTTAAAATTACCTGTATTTTACCTGAATGTAAGTATATGATGATCATATCTTAAATCAGGTGGAAGCAGTGGCAGCACACACTCCAGCAGCAGTAGTGAGTCATGCCGGTCTGGAGAACCCGTTCCTGTGCCATCTCAGAGAGCCACCTTCCACCAGATGACATCCTCAGGATCTTCAGACCAAATATCTGCCACACTGCAACCTGAATCTCCCAGACACCATGGTATTCCTACCAACAGACCATCACCACCTCCTCGTTCGCAGCCCATCAACATGCGGAGGGTGTCTGATCATAGAGCCCCTGATGTTGCTTCCTTGTCCCCACCAGCTGTAAGTTGACTACATTTTCATTTGCTTTGTTTTAGGGATATCTATTTGAATTTTGTTAGTGATACCTGCTACTTTTATACTTTAGAACAGATTTGCCTAACTTTTATTGTAATTGTGTTCTAGGTCCAGTTCACAATAGGCACACCCCCTATGGGTGGGCGCCGGAGATCCACATCAGGAAGCTCCTACTCCACTACACCACCCACCAGTGCTGCTGCCACAGGTATTTTAAATCATCAGCACCCAGACTGAGTGTGCTAGCTTAAGAACTTTGTAAATGGGAAAAATCATATGTCCCACTAGTCCTTGGTTTTATGTGTTTTGTACTTTGCTCAGTTTAAGATATAGCATTACAGATACACAGCTCTGGTGTTGTAATTTTTTGAAAAAAGTTGTTGGCAATCATTTGTCAATTTAAAATGGTTGTAGATACTTGTGTAATTCTGTTTTGGTTTTGCTGTTTGGTAAGTAGAATACTACTATCATATGAGCTGTATTTAGCTTTTTGTTTGCCAAGGATGTAAAGAAAGAAAATGTGGGGGCTTTTGCTATTTTATTCCTCTTTTTTTTTTGTGACTATACTAATTTTAAGCACTTGAGTAAATGTTTGTTGTGTGGTAATAGTAGCTTTGTCATGCTGCAGGTAACAACCAGGTGGTCCCAGGTGGGCGCCTCACTCCCACCAACTCTCCTTTACGCCAGTCTGGACGACGTACACCTCCCCACTTGCCTCCCCAAATGTTCTCAGCTCCCCCTGTGCTGCCCCCCATCCTGGGCTCTCCCACAAAACTAGGGCTTGGTCAGGATAACCCTGCTGGCGACATCTGTGGCAACACCACCCTCACTGCCCCGCACCGTGCTATTACACTTCCTGAAATGACCTCTGTATCACGTGACCCCTTTACTGGTCAGTACAGCTTCTTCCTCACCTTTTTTTTTTCTTTTGTTTGTCATTACTTTTGATTCTTTTCATCATTCAGTGTTTGGTTTGCTTTAAGTGCGCTTAAAAGCATTGTTATTATTTTGTCCTATTAAGTCTTGAAATTTGTTTAAATGAAGACTTAACATTAATAGTTGAGTACCAATTCTACACAAGATCTTACCTGTTGGTATGCTTTCAGGAGGGTCCCAAGATATGAGTGTAGATGGCAGTGGATTACAGCGATCCCGCACAGAGTCGCACCTCCTGGAGTGGCAGGCACAGGCACCCAGTCCACCACATCCTGGTAGACAGCTGGTTCAGTATGGTCAGTCTGCACCAGCTTTTCTCTTGCAAGGGACAGCCCAGGCGGAGGGAGATGACACTGTTGCCTTCTATGCTCCACCTTTGCACCAGGAAACCCTTATGGAGGTAATGTTCTACATTATAGAATTTATAAGATATTCTCTGTGGAAACAAGTGTACTTATACTAGATTTGACTGGTAGTCAAAAAAAAAAAAAGAGAGAGAGAGAGAGAGAGAGAGAGAGAGAAAAGGGAAATTTATACTGAACTTGAATTTTCAGCGAGAGCACAATGAGACACTGGCTAAGCTGAACTTCGTTTTGGCTTTGGTTGATTGTATCCTTGAATTGGCTCGCTCTCGAGCAGCACCTATTACTGCCTTACGACAGAATGCAGCTATGAGAGATTCTGTTTCAGGTAAGGGTTATGAAGAGCACATTCAGCTCATTTGTCTTGACTTAATTCAGTCACCATTTAAGAACATCCTTATTTATAAACATAGACACATAGATAAAGCAGCCAATTGTGTTGACCACAAAGTCTTATCTGTTGATTTTTCCAGGTTCACCAAAAGACACAGAAGGTTCAGCATTAGCATCACCACCCCCTGAGTGGCAGCGGCGTGCAGAACAGCTTGTGCTGTATGTCCGGGCTTTGCAGCTGCTCTCCTCAGCGCTCACTCTTGCAAAACATGAGAAGAGCACAAGTAGACTTCAGCCATCCAATGCTGTAAAGAATGGTGTGTGTTCACATGGGCTGTTATTGATTACATTTTAATTCCTTGTTTCTGGTGGAAAATTACAAGAATTTTACACATGCAAATTTTTTATGATAATCAAAGCTTGTTAATCAATAAATTTATTATTGTTATTATTTTAATTAATTTTTGCTGGATTTAATAAGTCAGTTATCTTGGTATTTACTGTGAGGCTAATTTTTGTAAAACCTTTTTCATAGTTGTGGGTGTGCTGAGTGAACGTTTCCGCCAAGCCCTGGGTGTGTGCAAGGAGCTGAATAGTGCTGGAGCAATTACTTCAGTAGATCCAAGAACATCAACTGTTACTGCTGATAAACTTATTTATAATTATGCTATTGAAATGGTAAGCTTTTAAAATTTGGAATCATTACATTTAACATTGTTTTCTCTATGTATAGATATGTATGTATGTTTGTTATGTGGTATGTCTTTTGACCTGAATTTAATTTTTCTCTTTAGTTATAACATTGTACATATTAGTAATATTCAAATTAATTTTTTCAGTGTCAAAGTGCTGCCTTGGACGAACTGTTTGGGAAACCCGAAGAGTGTTTCCGCCGCTATCAGACTGCACAAATCCTTCTCCACGCCTTGGCTCAGCAAGTGGCTCATGAGTCCGACCGCTCGCTACTGACACGCTACAAACAGGCAGTGGAAAGACGATTATTTCTCCTTCACGAACAAGGTGTAGTTCATGCGTACACTACAAATGAAGCGTAGGCACAGGAGAAAGGCTAAGAGAAGTAGTGTGCGTATGCCCTAATTAATTATTAAGAAACGGTTAATTTCTTTTTGAGTTTAAAACTGGAAATTGTATTGCTATACAAATGTTTAAATTACTTTTTTTTTTTTTAAGAGGAATTAACCCATAAAGTTGAAGTTCATGGCATTTTCTAGAAATGGATTAGGGAAGTGGAACAGAGGTGATCAGACATTCATTCATTGTGATCATAGACCATTAAAAGGCTTCATACTTACCATGCTCAATCTTATTGATGACAAATTTTTGGAAGACAGTAAAATCCAATTGAAACTCCTTATCAAGGTGAAGGAATTTTATTGTTGATAATTAACTATGATTAGGTTACAGTTATGACCATCCTCCCTAACTGATTAACCTTCAGAAAATAAGAGTGCAAGCATTAGAGGGCGGGCATAGTCTTTATCCTATTAGTCTCTCCCTCTCTCTTTCACACTCGTACACACACACACACACACACGCACACCATCATCCCCACTGACACACACCTCCATCTCCCTCCCCCCCACCCCCACCCCACCACACACATTCATACATACCTAAAGAAATTTTCATTTGGAATATGAGTGCATGCTCTGATCTCCACATTGGTATGGTGTGCATGTATATAAACTGAAATTTGTACTTTAGTTTGCATTTCACTGTCTCAGTCACTGAGCATGTCACATGCCAAGTGTGGAAGAAATCTTGAGATTCTAACAGCAATGTGACCCTAGAAGAAGAAAGAAAGAAAGAGTCAAAGCATCCAGAAATGTGATCTTCCTTTGTGGTCAGTCATTTTTTCAAAATGGTATTTTTTTCACCTTTTTTTCTACTTCGCTTGGAATGAAAATGTTTGTAAATGAAGGTAGTAAATAGGGCAGTGCAACTAATCATGCCTCATGTAATTAGCAATGTTCTATGTGCTTTATATATATATACACACATATATACATATATGAATATTACTCCTCAAGCAAGCTCTGGTTGGAGATGTTATACATGTTTTTATTAACAACCAATTCCTCTGTGTTTGTAGCCTTGTTCTAAACAGCAGTTATCGGCCTGAGAAGATCATGGTACAAATTTTTTTCCCCATAGCGACACATTACTACCAAAAAATTTGTGGACCTCCCTAGTGTTTGTTCAAGTAGCATGCAGAACTGTTCGTCAATCATTTATAAATTGGGAACGTACTTCTTACAGCATGGTCAATTCAGTATTTACAGTTGCTTGTTGAGAATAATGTTTTGTGGAGTAATTGATGTGTGGGAGATTATAGGGCACATTATAACTATGGTTTTCAAGGGAACAGTCATTCTGTATGGATGCCATCTTCTGGTAATGCTTCACTGTTACAGCATATGTAGCACAGACAGTCAGTAGATAATTTTTTTTCTTTTTCTTTTTTACAAATACTAAAAAACAAAAAATGGCAACCAGAGGTTATATGTGGGCAGTGTTTTCCTCTTCAAACATGTGAAATAGTTGAGCAGATAGTGTAGCCATTCACTGTTCTGACATTGGGAAGTGTTGTGTGAATCAAGTGCTTGCAAATAACTTTACAATACTCCTGATATCGTGCTCAGTTTAGTCTGCCATTTTGGCCAGCCTTATGGCCTGTGTTTGAGTGTTCCATTTTCTCATGGAAATGGAATTATTACCAGAAGTTTGTATTTTTTTTCTTCTCTCATTTGAATTTGGTGACTGTATATATATTTTTTATTTCAATTATGCTATTGTTGGTAGAAGTAGCATTGTATACTTATTGATATATGCAAAGAAAGTGGCAGTAAAGGACTTGGCCTTTGCAGTACTTGGTTTGTACTGCTAGCAGAGGTGTAGTTGACTATTTATATTTGTTACAAGCAAAAAAATACAAAATACAAAATAAAAATAATTTCCAGTTTAGTATAGATTGAGAATTTGAAATGCTGTAGAGTATAGTTATGATTTTTCTTATGTTTCAAGTAAATTGATTGGAAAGGGGAAAAAGAAAGTAACTATTTTGTGTAGCTTGTCTTATTGTTGTGTTTGTCTCATACATGTTTTCCTCATGCTAATAAACTCTAACTTAACAAACTTCACAATGTTTTGCCTTTTTTCTTTTGTCTTTCATATCTTATAACAATTACTCAGGAAAAAATAGCTTAAGATTTGATTGCCACAAAGTTTTTGTTCTGTGAGTGTGTGTGTGTGTGTTTTTTAAATCCGTTTGTTTCTCCTTTTTGTAGAACTTGCTTGCAGAGCTTGTTTTATTTTTATTTTTTTGTTTTTGTTTACATATGATATGATGATCTTGTATATGAGGGATGTACTTATTCAAAAATGGAACACTAACTTCCCACCTCAACTCGACAGCCTATGCAGTGATAGTCAGTAAGATCCTGCTCAGACTGTAGTTATGTATGACTGTGGAAATTGGAGCCACTTATAATAAATTCTGGCTCAAATTAGGTTTCAGGTTATACATTGGTTTTAACCATATTTTTTGTTTGGGTCAGGAAAATGTTTAACAAAGTGTATCTCTGATATCATTGCATGATTCCATTATATAACTATCTACCACGTTTATGGAGTTGTTATTAAGTAAGGGAAAGCGGTCTTTTACAGTGATACAGTGACTTTTTATTTTATTTTGAGACTTCTGCAAAGCGATGGAAATCATGCCCCTGTGGTTATTTTTTTTTGTCTAGTCGTACAACACGAACCCTGTGGCAGAATAAGCTCCAGTTCAATTGGAATCTTTGAGAAATAATCATCCAGTAAACATGCTGGTCATATTAATAAGGTTTAGTAAAATCTCAAATGGTAAGTGGTAAATTGGATGCAGGACATAGAGAATATATAAAGATACAATGTAAATGCCTGCAGCTATTGCCATACACACGCGTATGACATACATAACTCTTTCACACATATACACTCATGCTTACACCCTTACATACATTATGTATATGTGCATTGATTTGTTTAAAAGTGTATAAATTACACAGTCAGTATTTTTTTTCTAAGGATGTAATCCACTTCTGGTAAGAATATTTTAAGTTTATAATTTGTTTAACACTTTCTAGTCGATTAATTTGCGTGTGGGCATTTTGGGTGGGTATGCATATTTGTCCTGGTGTCATCCACTTATAGACACTATAGTTCTGTCAGTCCATATCATAATTCAAGGGATATCTTGTATATCCTTCAAGATCTCGCACTTAGTTCTTAGTCTGTTGTTGACCTTTAAATAAGGAATGTGAGGCAACTGTCAAGAGCCAAGAGTTGTCGTGATAGTGCATTTCTGATAAACAATGCATAGTTAGGTTTTGATAATTTGTTTGGCAGTTCTGTTGGTTATTTGAAGACTGAAGTTTTCTAACATGACTGAGTTACATATGTCATTACTCATTGGGTGTTGAACTTCACAGTTCCTGTTATCATTCTACCATAAACATACTTCTTCATGTGACTGCAGTCTTGGACAAATTCCCATCTCACAAGACAGGCCAATGCCACCATGCTTAATAGATTTATGATTTAAGCAGTGACATTGGCCATTGCCTTGGCGCCTGCCAACCACAGCATCTGTGATCTGTTTGTTTTTACGTTAGTGAGATTTTTTACAAGGTGACTCATTGCATTACTGTAAGAGCTGCAAGAGCGAAATATTGCATAACACTGTGTATAGGAGATACGCATTTCTCATTACAATGCTGCTATGTATGTGTTTATTTCTGTGCTTTTTATTTAATTCTTGAATACATGAGGAGAAGTTGGATAGTCAGTGTGATGGCTGGCTAATCAGCTAGAGGATGTGAGGATGCAAGTGGTGCATGGGTGAACTCTGCTGGGGCAGCTGATAGTCCCCAGTTCTAGACAGTAGTTGTTTGTTAATACAGAGTTTGACCCAGGCTCTGTAATAGAGTGTTGGCACACTGCAGTATTACAAGACCCTGAAAAGGATATTCTTACAAATTCTGTAAGATTTGAAAAGGATTGGCTTATTTGTGTTTGGTCAAACACGAACTGATATGAAGTCAGCTGTTCCTGTTTTGCCAATTGCAAATTGTGCCTATAATTGTACAGATTATAGTTGAAAAAAATCTTATTTTAAAAATTATAAAAAATATCAAAACATTAAAAAAACATAGTATGTTTTACTGCTGTAGTGGCAGGGCATAATGCAGGTCCTGTAATACACTAGATGCCTTTATGTACATGTGAAGCAGATAAAACAGCATTGTGTAGAGTATGGTATGTAAAGTGGGCAGTTTCTTTGTGGTATGACCCTCTCTTTAGTTGCCTCCAGTCATATGCAAACGAACAAATGTTAGCTTGTGACAAGAGTAGATAGGGCTGTTTATTGTTAGAGAGGTTATACTTGTACAGAAATGGCTCCACAACCTGTTTGTGTACATATATGATGATGATACAGGTAACATTATTTACTCTTGCAACTAGTACAATGCCCTGCAAGGGCTGTCATTTTATATTCTTACTATAAACACAATAGAGCAAAAGAAAAGTCAAATAAAAAAGAAAGTCATTAAGTGTTTTTATATCCTAAGCCTTGAAAAAAAAAAAATAAAGTGAAGGTTCACTGAATGAAGTTTTGCAAGAAAATAAAGAAAAGCAGTCTACCTGGGACAAATAACATTACAAAAGTAAACTCTTAAGTATAATAATATTTTTGTTACTTTTGCAGTTGTAAAAGTATAATACAAGACTGACTAAGTGGTCTACCATCCTTGAGAAATGCGAAAATATTTGGAGATTAACTGAAATGGCATAATGAGAATGGAATCCTAAAGCAGAGGGAGAGGAAACACGGACCAGTACTTTGCTTCAGACTAAACCATCTAAAATAGTGGTATTCAGACATAGCTGAATCTCTATTTCAACAAATATTAAGGAAATTACAACTTCTAATGCAGCTCAGACAAGTTTTGACAATGTTTATTCAATATTTCAAATTAATATTGAATTAGGATAGTAACTGCCCCTCTTCTGCATGGTACTGTCATTATCATTTTTATTCATCATCATCGTTATTAACACTCGGC